GTCAGGGGTTCAAGACTACCCTGACCAACATGGAGAAACCCCATCTCTACTTAAGAATACAAATTAGTCAGGTGCGGTGGTGCCTGTAATCCTACCTACTCAGGAAGCTGAGGCAGGTGAATCACTTGAACCTAGGAGGTGGAGGCTGTGGTGAGCTGAGAGTGCACCATTGCTCTCCAGCCTGGGAGAAAAAGAGGAAAACTCCATCTCGAAAAAAAAAAAAAAAAGCCCCAGCACAGAGACTCACAGCTGTAATCCCAGCACTTTGGGAGGTTGAGGCCAGGCAGATCACCTGCAGTCAGGAGTTCAAGACCATTCTGGCCAACATGGTGAAACCCTGTCTCTACAGAAATACAAAAATTAGCTGGGCATGATGGCAGGTACTTGTAATCTTAGCCCACTCTTAACCCTGGGAGGTGGAGGTTGCAGTGAGCTGAGATTGTGCCATTGCACTCCAGCCTAGGAAACAGAGCAAGACTGTCTCAAAAACAAAACAAAACATACAATTTGTCCCTTGGTATATGGGGGGATTGGGTCCAGCTCCCCAATATCTGTGTATACCAAAATCCATGCAAGCATCTGTAGTCCCAGCTACTTGTGAAGCTGAGGAAGGACTGCTTTAGCCCAGGAGGTTGAGGCTGCACTGAGCCATAATTGCACCACTGCACTCCAGTCTGGGCAACAGAGTGAGAAAGAAGGTTGACTTTTAAATATAATTTTCAGTTCACTTGAGAATTTGGTCAGAACTGTGGCATATGAAAATTCTTCATAGAATAGTTATCTAATCAAATTCATGCTAGAATTGGGAACAGAAATATTTTGTTGACTCTTCATTCCTTCACTTGCTGTTACATAAACTATGGCCAGTGGGCACTTACCAACCAGAAGTGTTATCTCAGAGCTACTCACAATAAAAGGTGATGTCTAGGGCCCAGGTGTGTTGAGGTCTCCATGCCTTGGCTATGGGTGAGTAGGACTTATAGGTACATCCATTTTCTATATTCCAGCTCTGGAAAACTTGGGTTTATCCATCTTCATAAGATGTAATTTAAATTTAACTTGGCAAGAACCATAAATGGAAGAAAGTTTATGAAACCACAGGATAGTACTTGTTCTCAAGGGACTCTTCAGCTTAGGTGCTTCTGTACAAAAGGAATGACATTGTCGAAAACTCATCGCAGGTCAGGTGAGGTGCCTCATATCCTTAATCCCAGCCCACTGGGAGACTAAGACAGGAGGATCCCATGAGGCCAAGAGTTTAAGACCAGCCTTGGAAACACAGTGAAACCTCATCTCTACAAAAAAAAAAAAAAAAAAATTAGAAAAGGAACTGGGTATGGCAGCACATTCCTATAGTCCTAGCTACCCTGGAGGCTTAAGTGGGAGAATAGTTGAACCCAGGAAGTGGAAGCTGCTGTGAGCAATGATCTCACCACTACACTCCAGCCTGGGTGACAGAGTGAGACCATGTGTACACACACACACACCCCTCAGTCTGTCCAGCCTTGACTAATAAAAAGGGTCTTCCGGTTACACAACAGGTGTGCTCTTTTGTAGGACAGGAAGGGACGAGCAAGCGTGTTCACAGCCTTTCCGCATCCTCTGTTTAGGTTTCCAAGAACCTGCAAGGGAGTCCCAAGGGAAAGGACAAATCTTCTAGTTACCAGAGGAGAAATATGCCTCCTTTGTCAATAAATGGAACACCCGCCATGAAATCCAGGAAGTTCTGCTAAGATGAACCACTCCCTATGACACTGACCTATGCAGGAAACATGAGAAACTAGAGTTTGTGGACCAATAATATTGAAGGTCACATTCCAGATTGTGGAGATCTAACCAAAGTACAGCCTTTCCACAAGGCACTGCCAAATAACAGCTGGCTGTCTCCATTGGGGCACTGCCGTTATCTCTCGCTCTCATTTCACCGGGAGATGCTCTATTCCAGCTTCCTTTTGCATTTTGTATTCTGTAGTTCCTGGGGTAAGACCTCACAACATAGCAGACTGCTGAGTCAATGCTGATCTACAGATATGACTTCAGATTCTAGCAGGACTCTTTCAGTTTGAGAAATTAAAGAGGAGAAAAAGTGGACCCAGCCTGGCACTGGCCAGCTTAGCAGTCCGAAGATAAAAGCTGCTCAAAATGACTACAGTGCTTCTGACTTTCTTAGTCTGCCCTTCCTCCTAGGGCTCTTTGGATGAGATTTATTTCTCCTTGTTGAAGAAATTGTTTGCTAGAATATAAAAATTTAAGGAAGAATGAAATACTAAAATATAATTTTCTCCTAAAGAGCACTCAAAAGTATAATCCCACCAGTGCTGGATCTATTTATCTCTCTCTCTCTCTCTCTTTTTTTTTTTCTGAGATAGGCTCTCACTCTGTTACCAAGACTGGAGCACAGTGGTGAGATCACAGCTCACTGCAGCTTTCAACTCCTGGGCTCAAGTGATCCTCCCACTTCAGCCTCCCAAGCAGCTGGGATTACAGGTGCATGCCACCATGCCTAATTTTTAAAATTTTTTGTAGAGAAGGCCACTATGTGGCCTAGGCTGGTCTTGAACTCCTAGATCAAACTAATCCTCCTGCCTTGGCCCCCAAAGTGCTGGAATTATAGGCTTTAGCCACCACACCCCATCTATTTATGTTTGTATGCACACACACACACACACACACACACCACACAAACACACATATATACACATATGTACACATATAAAATCTCATATATTAAATGTTCCTCCTTAAATCGCCTCCTACCCACCCATCTGCAGGGAGAGCAAACACAGGTCTCAGCAGATCAGGGAAGCTACATGAAGAAAGGAGGCTGGAGCAATGCCAGAGACCAGGAGGAACTGTAGCAAATGGCAAGGTATTCACTTCAAAGGTTTTTCAACATTGTGATGGTCAAACCAAACACAGAAACAGGAAGCCCAGTTCAGTCACCAGCAGCCAATGTGGGATATTTGATCTACATGCTAAAGGGCAAACTGTTTAGGAAGAAAGACCTTGTCTCCTCCACACTGTTCTTCAAGTCCCTCCTGCCCAGTAGTCCCTACACTCTGCTGACATGACCCACATTCACAGGACTCTCCTGACCCCTTTGCTTGTTTAGTCTTTTTTCCCCAATAACTATTTTCTTTTTTGGATACAGAATTCACCTCTGTCACACAGGCTTGAAGGAAAGTGAGGTGATTATGACTCACTGCAGATTCCATCTCCCGGGCTCAAGTGATCTTGCCTCCCAAGTAGTTGGGATTACAAGCATGTACCACCATACGTAGCTAAGTTTGTTATGATGATGATGATTATTTTGAGATGGAGTCTCACTCTATCATCCAGGCTGGAGTGCAGTGGCACGATGTAGGCTTACTGCAACCTCCACCTCCTGGGTTCAAGTAATTCTCCTGCCTCAGCTTCCTGAGTAGCTGGGATTACAGGCATGCACCAGCAAGCCCAGCTAATTTTTGTGTTTTAGTAGAGATGGGGCTTCACCATGTTGGCCAGGATGGTCCCAATCCCTTGACCTTGTGATCCACCCACCTCAGCTTCCCAAAGTGCTGGGATTAAAGGCATGAGCTGCTGTGCCTGGCCAACCTTTTTTATTTATAAGCCTCACATGTATGCTTATAACAATGCAAAACAAACTAATATAGCAATCGTATGCCAACACTTCCCAGACTGTGAGGAGCACAATGACAGAAGCACAGAGTGGGAATGAAATGCTCCCAACGGGCTTCTTCTCGCATCATAGAGAATGGGGCAAGACACCTCGGCTGAGGCTAAAGATAAGCGAAGATGAGAGTCAAAGAGTGATGATGAGGGTAGGGGGAGGTTTCCTGAAGGACACCAGTAAAGTCCCCTAAGGAAACTGACATTCCACGTGGCTGGAGGGGAGGGATATGGGGAGGGTTGTGCAGGATAAAACTGGAAAGGTAAGCCAAGGCCAGTGCTTACCAGGCCCTGTGGCCAAATTAGTTTTGATTTTATCTTAATTGCAATGGGCAGTCACCAGCAGGTTTTAATCAAGAACCATTTTGACCCAAATTTGCCTTTTAGAAAAATTCCTCTGGCTTCAGTGAACAGGCTGAAGTGAGCAAACCTCGAAGTCAGGAAGACAATTGGAGGCCTTCCCGATAAACCAGTATCGAAGAAAACAGGGCCAGGCATGGAAGCTGCTGCCTATAATCTCAAAACCTTAGAAGTCTAAGGAGGGTGGACGTCTTGAGCCCAGGAGTTTAAGACCAGCCTGAGCAATGTGGTGAAACCACATCTCTACAAAACACAAAATATTAGTTGGGTGTGGTGGCTCATACCTGTGGTCATACCTCAGCTACCCCAGAGGCTGAGGCTGCAGTGAGCCAAGATCACACCACCGTGCTCCAGCCTGGGCAACAGAGGGAGACTGTCTCAAAAAGAAAAAGAATCCCATTCTTCACCTATTAGTTCCCCAAAGTTCTCATGAAAACCTTGGTGATGCAGTGAATTCAACTGTCATTGTAATTCAGCAATTCACACATTTAAGTTTGTGTTTGATTTTTAATAATATCAACCCTGTGGAAACAAGAAATACGGAATTATGTTTGGGCTATCATGGAAGCTCCCTGGATCTTAGAACATGACTTGTGCTAAGACGTGAGCTTTGCGTTTTTCTCTGTGTGAGTGCTCAAGTGCAGCAGTCCCCAGGTTTTATGGCACCAGAAACCAATATTATGGAAGACAGTTTTTCCACAGACTGGCGGCAGGGGGTCCGTTTTGGAATATTTCAAGCACATTACATGTATTGTGCACTTTGTAATTATCACACTGTAGTATATAATAATTATATAACTCACCATAATGTACAATCAGTGGGAGTCCTGAGCTTGTTTGTTTTCCTGAAACTAGATGGTCCCATCTGGGGGTGATGAAAGATACTGACAGATTATCAGGGATTAGATTCTCATAAAGACAGAGCAAGGTAGAACCCTTGCATGCACAGTTACACAATAGGGTTCCTGCTCCTATGAGAATCTAATGCTGACACTGACCTGACAGGAGGTGGAGATCAGGCGGCAAAGAGGGGAGTGGCCATGAATACAGATGAAGCTTTGCTCGCCCACCTGCTGCTCACCTCCTGCTGTGTGGCCAAGTACAGGCCTGTGATTCAGGGATTAGGTGCCCCTGCTCCATTGCATCCAAAAGGACCCTCCCCACACCAGTCTTCATCGTGGTCAAGTACAGAAGCCACTTAGCTCCTAAGGCATGTGTCTCAGCTGGCATTTCATCGCAATCAACACTAAGTGGCAGCTTGAAACATTATGAGGTCACTTCCTAAAAATCACCAGCACCCCATTTCCCATTGACAAGAAGCTCAACGCTGCCCCTTGGATAACCAAACCTATGCCCAAATCCCATTTGTGTGGGTCTTTCTCCCAGAACCCTTCCTAGCATCAGTTCTGTATTTGTCAGAGTCCAATCAAAAGACACAAATCACCCAAAGTTTAAAGTGGAAAAATTTAAAATAAAAAAAGCAATTATATAACAAGGGAACACCATATGAGAGATTGGCTACAAAAGTAAAGAGAACTCTAGAGAACATAGGGCTAGCAGAGGCCAGACATGGTGGCTCATGCTTACAATTGCAGCAATTTGGGAAGCCAAGGCAGGAGGACTGCTTGAGGCCAGCAGTTTGAGACCAGCCTTGGAAACACAGTGAGATCCTGGTTCTACAAAAAAAAAAAAAAAAAAAGCAAGGTGTGGTGGCACACACTTGTAGTCCTGGTTACTTGGGAGGCTGAGGTGAAAAAATTGCTTCAGCCCAGGAGGTTAAGGCTGCGGTGAGCCATGATTTCACCACTGCACTTTAGACCGGGCAAAAGAGAGAGATCCTGCCTCAAAAAAACAAAGTATAGAACCAGCTGTTACAATGAGCAGTAACTTCCTACTGTCCCTACGCTGAGATAGAGTGACCAAGGAGGGGATTCCCCACTAAGGCTGAGATCCAGGCCCCCTTGGAGAGGGCACAGTCATGGGTGATTCAATAGCAGAATTGCTGCATTACCACATGGTAGAACATGCAAGCAATATGCCCTCTGCAATTTGCTGAAAATCCACCATCTAGGGTGCTAGCTTAACCTATTAGTAAACAGTTGTCTCACCACAAAACCACCCAGGCAAATGCAGAGAAACTGCTGGTCACTGCCTGCTGCTAAGCACCATGCAGGGCAGCAGCCTGGTGCTGCAAAAGCTCAGCATCTGTGAAGATGTGCACATAACTAGAAAGAAAAGCCTCTTAGAACGCCCCTTATAACAGCACCATGTACTGACAACATTTAATAATGCACCAGTTGACAGAGGAAACATTTAAGGAACCCACCTCTATGTTTGCAGAGCAGGCAATGAAGGGTGAATTTGGAACTGAGGAGCAGTCATTGGATGAATAGCTGGTACCTGACACATTTCCATCTACCAAAGAAGGAAAGGAAGAGAGAAAAATGAGAAGAAAAACAGGCATGGTGGTTTACACCTGTAATTGCAGCAGTTTGAAAGGCCAGGGCAGGTGAATCACTTACATCCAGGAGTTTGAAACCAGCCTGGGTGACATAGAGAAACCTTGTCTCCACTAAAAATTAAAAAAACAATTAGCTGAATATGGTGGCATGTGCTGTAGTCCCAACTTCTCAAGAGACTCCTGGGTTCAAGCAATTCACCTGCCTCAGCCTCCCAAGTGGTGGGGATTAGAAGTACGCACCACCATGCTCAGCCAACTTTTGTATTTTTAGTAAAGACAGGATTTCACCATGTTGGCCACATCAGTCTCAAACTCCTGACCTCGTGATCTACCCACTGCAGCCTCCCAAAATCTTCTGCTCTGTCTTTGCCCACTTAATCTAAGAAAACTAAGCTAAAATAAATTTTGTAACCAAACCAAAATGAAGCTAAGTGGTTGGCTACTATACTCAAAAGGCTTGAAATTCCCTTCACCCAAAAATAACTATCTGGAAGCCAAGAATGGTTATCTGGAAGTCAGCATCCTCAGAGCACATTTCAGAGGCAAACTAGAATATGTCAGTGTAAACTATGAAAGTCCAGAGCCTTTGTTTGAGTAAGACTAGGTGCAGCAAAACCATGGGCTCCATGCTGATTGGTATTGTAAAAGAGGCCACAGGGAATGGAATTAAATATGACACCCTCGGCCGGGCACAGTGGCTCACATCTGTCATACCAACACTTTGTGAGGCCGAGGTGGGCAGATCGTTTGAGGTCTGAAGTTTGAGAGCAGCCTGGCCAATATGGTAAAACCTCGTCTCTACTAAAAATATAAAAATTAGCCAGGCATGGTGGCAGGTGCCTGTGATCCCAGCTACTTGGGAGGCTGAGGCAGGAGAATCACTTGAATCCAGGAGGCAAAGGTTGCAGTGAGCTGAGATCACACCACTACACTCCAGCCTGGGCAACAGAACAAAATTCCACCTGCAAAGTTTCTTCTAAACTCAATTTAAGGCACCATGTACCACAAACCAGATAGCAAGAAATTAAATAAATTTTAGCCTTTTTCATGCCATCCAATTACATCTTGGTCAGTTCATGAACATGTTTCAGCCAATGCTAAAGGAGGTTTTCTCTTTAGGAGTCCTCTCTCACTTCACCCTGCTTAACACAAGACTTCACACACAAAGAGAATGGAGACAGCCCTGCTTCAGGACATGCTACAGAGACAGAACTGACTGTCCCAAAAACAGAGGGCTCCACACCCCTCTGACAACTCCACAATGGACCAGCTACACACAAATGCCTGAAGTAAGGAAGTCCATTAAGAAAATGAACAGTTGGTGAGATCAAGACTTCTGACCCAAAGGGCCTGCAGCTGGTCTGATGATTCATCAAAAAGTCTGAATTTAAATGGAGACATATTGGACTGTGACATGTAATAAAAGAACTGAAGCAGCAAAGTGTCTTGGTTTGGGTTTTCTTTCCACTGTATACAGCTCCAATGAATAGAGAAGTGAGCACGCCTGTGGTACTCCTGACACATCTGGGATAGTTCCCATCCACAGTGGTTGGCCTTTGGGATTATGCACACATTGCAGGGTCATTGCCCATCTGTGCTAACCTAGAATGTCCACATAAAAGCCTCTGCTTAGAGACTGCAGAGAAAAATGTCAAACCTGAAAGCCCATGAACTGTCTCAGCCAGGGGGAACACATGAAGGAAACACTACAGAATCTCACATCAGAAGCCTAATTTCAGGTTGACCTCTAAAGCTTTATGATTGTGAGTAATCAGCTTACTTTCTCTAGGCTCTGTTATTGTCACATCAATAAACAGAAAAGCAGACTGAATAGTCTCCCAGATCAATTACAATATTAATATCCTCTGGCTTTATGATTAAAGAATGATACTAATTAATAAGGGTGAAACTGTGGCTTAACCCCAATAGGAGCCTGCTGGGATTATGCTAAGCAAAACTAGTCCACATGGACAGAACCATTCTGACCACATCCCTCCCTATGCCAGCTATCATACAGATATGCATCACTGGCATGAGAAGTCCCTTCCTCACAGGACTGACTGATTCAATAATAGGCTGATTTATTCATTCAAACAACAAATATTTACTGAGCACCTTCTAGGTATTTAGGGTTACAACAGAACAAAACAGATGAAATCCCATCCCTTACTTACATGTTAGTGGAGGAGGGGGGTCAGACATCAAATAGGAAATATAATGAAGGATATATTTTATGTAGGGCAGTGCTGGGATTCACTCAGGGTGGCTGGAAAAATATTAAGGGAAATATTAGGGAAGTATAGAGCATAGTCTCAAACCTTTGGGAAGCCGAAAAGTTTTAATGAGCCAGGCTGAAGACAGCCAGTTCTTACATTCGAGCTTTAAGTCATAAGGTGAAGATTAAGATAATAAAAGCTTCCCTGGTTAAGTCTGTTTACCCCACATTCCTTTTTCTCGACTCCGTTTACTCATGTAAACTTCATACTAGCTGCTCCTCTAAGGGGGAAGTTGAAAAATAATTACTTCTTAATGGTGTTTATTCTGGACCTCAGAACCAAAAGTTTTTATCATTCTTAAAACCACTCTTTTAACCATGTTAATTATCCACAAGCATGTTAACTTAAAACATCTGTGACTCCTTCTATACTGAGTAAATGCAAGAATGAACAAGGAGTCAATTAGCTACAATCACCCTCTAAAAGTTGATGACACCCTAGCCCATCTCTTACACTGTATTCTGTATGGAAGGGCATATTTTATTCATCTGATACTTATACTAAATAAATCTTTGTTTAATACGTGGAACTAAACATGAATTCTAAGTACAAAGAAGTCATGATGAGAGGGAGACAAAAGGCCCAAATTAATCAAATTAATCTCTTCTTAGGGAAGACACCGAATTTGGGTCTGCAGGTTATCATCTTACCTTTTAATAACAAATTTAATTTGATTGCCCACTTGAATGATGTTTTCCAGCCTTGGGATTCCCTATCATGAGGGACTTCTGAAAGGAATGTCTTCCAGTACTTCTTCCACACACAGATCATTCGCATGTCCTTCAAATTCTTGGTCTTAAAAACGATCTTCAAAGATTAAACTTTGTTTTTCAATATCCTTAAACAGAAGACAAAGAAAGAAAATCATTATAGACAATAAACAACATAACTGAAGCTGGTGTGCAGTGGCATGATCTCGATTCCTTGCAATCTCTGCCTCTTGGGTTCAAGCAATACTCCTGCCTCAGTCTCCCAAGTAGCTGAGATTACAGGTGCCTGCCAGCATGCCTGTCTAATTGTTGTGTATTTTTAGTAGAGACAGGGCTTAACTATGTTGGCCAGGCTGGTCTCCAACTCCTGACCTCAGCTGATTCACCCACCTTGGCCTCCCAAAGTGCTGGGATTACAGGCATGAGCCAATGTGCCCAGCCATAAACACTATTTGGAAGTAGCTTTTTGCTACTATCTGCTCGTGACTGTAATAACCCTCTTCCATTGGCTGCCTTACAGTAGAGCATTTCAGGCTACACTTTCATCTGCACTGCAGCCATGAGATCAATGTTCTTTACCCCTTCAACCTCGTGAGCATACTATTTAACAAGAATTAACTTTCCACAAAGAATTCATGGAATGGGAATGAAAAATAGTAAGCAGAGGCTGACTGAGATTAAAAGAGCATAACAACCAACGTTAACACATGAAGATTGTTTAAAGCCAGATTTAAAACAACATGTTTTCAGATAATGAGGAAATGTGATACTGTTCACATAAGAGTAAGGAAACTCGACTAAGGGCTACATATGAGTTGACACCAAAAAATCACTGCTAAATTTGTCAGATATGATGAGGGAGTGGCTGTGTGGGGATGCACACTGAACAGATAAAATGATGCGATGACTGCGATTTGCTTTATAATATTCCTGCAAAGGGAGGTAAAAGAATAGCAGAACAAAATGTGGACAATCTTAATGATCACAGAACTTGAGGAACGGGTATTTTAGTGTTTATCGTACTATTTTCTCTACTTTTGAATAGGCATATAAACTATAATTTAAAAGTGTTTAAAAAAAGTGGTCGGGAGCAGTGGCTCACTCCTATAATTCCAGCACTTTGGGAGGCCGAGGCAGGTGGATCACTTGGGTCAGGAGTTAAGAGACCAACCTGGCCAACATGGTGAAACCCTGTCTCTACCAAAAATACACACACACAAAATTAGCCAAATGTGGTGACAGGTACCTGTAATCCAAGCTACTCAGGAGGCTGAGGCAACAGAATCACTTGCACCCAGCAGGAAGAGGTTACAGTGAGCCAAGATCATGCCACTGGACTCCAGCCTGGGCAACAGAGTGAGAATCTGCTTCAAAAACAAAAACAAAAATAAAGCAAAAATTAATTTACTATTCCCTGCTCTGAAGCCACATCCAAACAGGATTCTAAAAAGAAAGATTCTAGCAATTCACATGGTGCTATTTATATAGAGATCTCCCTTGCACCTTTGTATGTAAATTTAAATATTTTGCAACCTGATGGCTCAGAGTGGTTCAAAGCTGGGCATGGTAACACATGCCTGTAGCCCCAGCCACTTAGGACACTGAGGCAGGAGGATAACATGAGCCCAAAAGTTCTAGTCATGCCCAGACAACATAACAAGACCTGGTTTCTTTAAAAAGAAATGGGGAGCTGTGAGGGAGCTCATTGATGAATTATTTTGGTGACATCAACAAGTGCTATCAAAACACTACTATAAAATCCAAAATTACATCTACTGCCAGATTTTTCTCCTTACTTCTGGACTAATTTATCCAATTGCCTCCTCTACCTCCACAACTCAAATTGAAAGAGATTAATTTCTTTGATCTTAGATTGGCTTTCCTCTAACATATAAGGTTTGTATTAAATTCTTACTTCATGTTATTAGCACCAAATCTGAAAGGATCTAGTATAGAAACTCTTTGAAATAAGAAACACACGAAATGATATAGTTATCATATCTGGAAAAAGAAATATGCCCATAAACAAACAACAGTAAAAAATTAGAGGCTTTCAGTCACACTAAAGAATGATGTTAAATAAAATTATTCTGTCGATTCAACAAGAAAATATATAAACCTAATTCTAACAAGCTTTCTATAAAATAAAAAAGAACCAATTGTTAGAGCTGAGAGTAAAAAGTGGAAGTTTTAGAAAGAGTTGAAGTCAACTGCAGAACATGCCCATCGCATATCATGAAGGCTGCCCCAATCACACCCATCCCCATTATTCCACCTAGTATCACCTAAGGTCAGGAGTTCAAGACCAGCCCTGCCAACATAGAAAAATCCCTTCTCTACTAACACAAAAATTAGTCTTGTATGGTGGTGGGCGACTGGGAGGCAGGAGAACTGCCTGAACCCAAGAGCCAGTGAGACAAGATCACACCATAGCACTCCAACCTGGGTGACAAGAGTGAAAACTGTCTCAAGAAGAACAACAACAAATTCCTTTGGGAAGGCTTTCTTCATGGAGATCTTCAACATGAGACTGGAAAATAGGGTATGGAATCATCACCGGACCGTTGGCTTTTACAGCTTGAGGTATAAGGACAAAAAGAAAAAGGGATAACATTTAAACACAATTTGCAGGAAAGAATCATTATTGAATCTGTATTGCTCTTTAACTTTCTTTGCTTGAAACAGAGTTTCACTCTTGTCGCCCAGGCTGGAGTGCAGTGGCACAATCTCGGCTCACTGCAAGCTCCATTTCTCAGGTTCAAATGATTCTCCTGCCTCAGCCTGCTGAGTAGTTGGGATACAGGAGCCTGCCATCACCCCCAGCTAAGTTTTGTATTTTTTGTAGAGACAGAGTTTCACCATTTTCGTCAGGCTAGTCTCGATCCCCTGACTTCAGGTGATCCGCTCATCTCAGCCTCCCAAAGTACTGGGATTAGAGGGATGAGCCACTGAGCTGCCTGAGCACTTTCTTATGTTATTAAATAGCCTAACCCAGGTAGGGGCAGTGGCTCACGTGTGTAATCCCAACAACTTTGAAGAACAAGGTAAGAAGATTGCTTCAACCTAGGAGTTCAAGACTGGCCTGGGCAACATAGCTAGACCACCCCACATCTCTACAAAAATTAGGCCAGGTGTGGACCACACCTAGCTAAATTTTTTATCTTTTATAAAGACAGGGTTTCATCATGTTGCCCAGGCTGGTCTCAAACTCCTAAGCCCAAGCCATCCTCCCGCCTCGGCCCTCAAAATGCTGGGATTACAGGGCTCAGGAAGCCTCATGTTTTCGTTAAGCAGTCTCCTACTCTTGCACACTTGGATAGTTTTCTTTTTGTTCTTTTAGGCAGGGTTTACCTCTGCCTAAAGGTTGGACTTCTGTGGTGGGATCATAGCTCATTGCAGCTTTGAACCCTGGGGTTCAAGTAACTTGGAGGCTGAGGTAAAACCACAGATACAGGGTCACACCATGTTGCCCAGACTGCTCTTGAACTCCTGGACTGAAGGGATCCCCCTACCTCATCCACACCTGGACACAGTTTTCTATTTTTGACCTACATAAACACTGTACCGGGTCAGAGTTTGTCAACTGCCCTTTTCCAGCCAGCAACACACAGGACCTAGCTGAGACATTGCAGTTACCAGGCTTCACTCTGAGGAGAAGAGAACACATCTCTGTCCCTGTGACTTCACTGAAAATCCACCCTTGTGACATCACAGAGCCCCCCTCAAATGGAGCCAATCAGAACTCTAAAAGAAAATGTCAGTTGCATGCCAGTCAGATGTGGGCAGTGTTCATGTTTCAAAAGCTAACACTGGCATGACTTAGTGTTGGACGCAGAAAAATTAAAAATAAAAGATAAAAATATGTAAAATTGGCTGAGTACAATGGCTCACACCTGTAATCCCGACACTTTCAGAGACCAAGGCATGTAAATCACAAACTCAGGATTTTGAGACCAGCCTGGCCAATAAGAAGGCTGAGGAAGGAGAATTGCTCGAACCCAGGAGGCAGAGACTGCAGCCAGCCGAGATCATGCCACTGCACTCCAGGCTGGGGGACAAGAGTGAAAACTTTGTCTCAGAAAAAAAAATCCTTTGGGAAGTCTTTCTACATAAAGATCTTCCACATGAGACTGGAATAAAAGTACAAGGTCATCCTGGATCCTTGGCTTTTACAGCTTGAGCTGTAACTGAAAAAAAAAGGGATATCATTTAAATACAATTTGTAGAAAAGAATAATTATTCAATCTGTATTGCTCTTTAATTTTTTTTTTTTTTTGACGAAGTCTTGCTCTGTTGCCAGGTGGGAGTGCAATGGCACAATCTCAGCTCACTGCAACCTCCATCTCCCATGTTCAAACAATTCCCCTGCCTCAGCCTCCTGAGTATTTGGGACTACAGGTGCCTGCCACCATGCCCAGCTAATTTTTGTACATTCAGTAGAGACGGGGTTTCACTGTATTGGCTAAGATGATCTTGATCTCCTGTCCTCATGATCCACCCGCCTTGTCCTCCCAAAGTGCTAGAATTACAGGCATGAGCCACCATGCCCTGCATTGCTCTTTAACTTTTATAATTTTTTCTTTACTTCTGTTATTGTAATTGAGTTCAAAAAATAGTATTAAAAAATAAAAAGGGAGGGAGGACTCAAGATGGTGGTGTGAGAACAACCCAGGATTGAAGCTCTCACTGGATGCACGGAGAGGGTGAGTTGGGGACGCATTTCCAGACGGATCTTAGTTACCCACAGAACGGGGAAATTCCCAGGTATAAAAGAGATGCAGGATGCCAGGCAGAGGCCTAGGCTGGTGTAGCTGGCAGCCGGTGCAGCTGCGGCCCGTGCCGGAGTACAGAGGTGCTCCCCAGCACTCCATACAAAAGCGCACTGTTACGGGTGCCCTGTTGAACTGGCAAACTGAGACCTGAGAGGGCTGAACTTGAGACTGAACGGGACTTGGACAGTGAGCCAGTCCAGGAAATCCCAGGGAAACAGCGTTTGGGGTAGCACAGTGTGACAAACAAAACGGTGATTCCAAACGCTCCCTGTGAGGAGGTTTCCTTAAAGTGCAGCTCCGTGGGGGAGGGGCGTCTGCCATTACCGAGGCAATCAGCCCCTACTGAGGTACACACCCATTGCTGACGCAGCCTGCATTGCCGAGGCAACCCGGTACAACAGAGAGACTCTGCCACAGGGCATAGTCTGTGGCAACAAGGTGGAGACCGCAGCAGAAGGGCAGAGCCTGCAGCAACAGGGCAAACCTCACATCAACAGGGTGGAGCCTCGGCAGGCAAAAAGTGACTAGACTGCCTCCTAGCTGGGCAGGACAGCAAGGCAGACACTCACAAGGAAAGCCCCAAACCCCCCCCAGACAGAGCATCTGAGAAAAAAAGGGTTTTGTTATGAGTTATGTTGCAGCAGAATTAAACATAGCAGCCTAACAGCCCTGAACAAACAACAGAGCTCACAGCTCAGCACTTGAGCTCCTACAAAGTACAGACTGTCTCCTCAAGCAGCTCCCTGACCCCTCTATATCCAAAAGACTGACATTTCGCAGGCATCATTCTGGGACAAAGATAGCAGAAAAAGAAACTGGTAGCATCCCTCGCTGCTCTGCAGCTGCTACAGGTGCACCCCAGACAAGCAGGGCCTGGAGTGGACCTCAAAAGTCATACAGTGAAGGGGCTAGACTGGTAGAAGGAAAACCAAGTAACAGAAATACTTCATCATCAACAATCTGGGTGTCCACTCAGAGACCCAATCGAAAAGTCAGCAACTACACAGACAACAGGTGGATAAATCCACAAAGATGGGAAGAAACCAGCGCAAAAAGGAAGAAAACACCCGAAACCAGAACACCTCGCCGCCTAGAAAGGACCAAAACTCCTCACCAGCAAGGGAACAAAGCTGGATGGAGAATGACTGTGATGAAAGGACAAAATTAGACTTCAGAAGGTGGATAATGAGAAACTTTTGTGAGTTAAAAGAACATGTTTTAAATCAATGCAAAGAAACTAAGAACCTTGAAAAAAGATTTGAGGAAATGATAACAAGAATGGATACCTTAGAGAGGAATATGAATGAATTAAAGTAGCTGAAAAACACAATACGAGAACTTCGCAAAGCATGCACAAGTTTCAATAGCCGAATTGACCAAGCAGAAGAAAGAATATCAGAAGTCGAAGATGAACTTAATGAAATAAAATGAGAAACCAAGATCAGAAAAAAAAGTGCAAAAAGGAATGAACAACGTCTCCAAGAAATGTGGGACTATGTGAAGAGACCTAACCTACATTTGTTAGGCATAGCAGAATGTGACGAAGATAATGAATCCAAGCTTGAAAATACTCTTCAGGACATTATCCAGGAAAATATTTCCCACCTAGCAAGACAGGCCAACACTCAATTGCAGGAAATACAGAGAACACCACAAAGATACTCCAAAGAAGAGCAACCCCAAGGCACATAATCGTCAGATTCAACAAGGTTGAAATAAAGGAGAAAATACTAAGGGCAGCCAGAGAGAAAGGTCGGGTCACCCACAAAGGGAAGCCCATCAGACTCACAGCAGATCTCTCGGGAGAAACTCTACAAGCCAGAAGAGAGTGGGGGCCAATATTCAACATCCTTAAAGAAAAGAAGTTTCAACCCAGAATTTCATATCCAGCCAAACTGAGCTTCAGAAGTGAAGGAAAAATGAAATCCTTTGCAAACAAGCAAGTACTCAGAGATTTTTGTCACCACCAGGCCTGCTTTACAAGAGCTCCTGAAAGAGGCACTACAAACAACCAGTACCAGCCATTCCAAAATCACACTAAATGCTAAAGAGCATCAACATAATGAAGAATCTACAACAACTAACGAGCAAAACAGCCAGCTAGCATCAAAATGGCAGTATCAAATTCACACATAACAATATTAACCCTAAATGTAAATGGACTAAACGCACCAATCAAAAGACACAGACTGGCAAATTGGATAAAAAGCCAAAACCCAGCAGTGTGATGTATCCAGGAAACCCATCTCACATGCAAGGATACACAAAGGCTCAAAACAAAGGGATGGAGGAAGATTTACCAAGCAAATGGAGAGAAAAAGAAAGCAGGAGTTGCAATTCTCATCTCTGATAAAATAGACTTTAAAGCAACAAAGATCAAAAGAGACAAAGAAGACCATTACATAATGGTAAAAGGATCGGTACAACAAGAAGAGCGAATGATCCTAAACATATATGGACCCAATACAGGAGCACCCAGATACATAAGGCAAGTTCTTAACGACTTACAAAGAGACTTAGACTCCCACACAATAATAGTGGGAGACTTTAACACTCCACTGTCAATATTAGACAGATCAACCAGACAGAAAATCAACAAGGATATCCAGGGCTTGAACTCAGACCTGGAGCAAGCAAACCTGATAGACATTTAGAGAACTCTCCACCCCAAATCCACAGAATATACATTCTTCTCAGCACCACATCACACCTACTCTAAAATTGACCACATGATTGGAAGTAAAGCACTGCTCAGCAAATGTAAAACAACTAAAATCATAACAAACAGCCTCTCAGACCATAGTGCAATCAAGTTAGAATTCAGAATTCAGAAATCAACCCAGAACCGCACAGCTTCATGGAAACGTAACAACTGGCTCTTGAATGTTGACTGGGTAAACAACGAAATGAAAGCAGAAATAAAGAAGTTCTTCGAAACCAATGAGAACGAAGACACAACATGCCAGAATCTCTGGGACACATTTAAAGCAGTCTCTAGAGGAAAGTATATAGCAATAAGTGCCCATATGAGAAGAATGGAGAGATCCAAAATTGACACCCTATCGTCAAAATTGAAAGAGCTAGAGGAGCAAGATCAAAAAAACTCAAAACCCAGCAGAAGACAAGAAATAACTAAGATCAGAGCTGAACTGAAGGAGCTTGAGACACGAAAACCCCTCCAAAAAATCAATAAATCCAAGAGCTGGTTTTTTGAAAAGATCAACAAAATAGACCACTAGCCAGATTGATTAAAAATAAAAGAGAGAACAACCAAATAGATGCAATAAAAAATGATAAAGGGGAAATCACCACAGATTCCACAGAAATTCAAACCATCATCAGAGAATACTACAAACAACTCTATGCGCATAAACTAGTAAACCTGGAAGAAATGGATAAATTCCTGGACTCCTGTGTTCTCCCAAGCCTAAACCAGGAGGAAGCTGAAACTATGAATAGACCAATAACAAGGGCAGAAGTCGAGGCAGCAATTAAGAGCCTACCACACAAAAAAAGCCCAGGTCCAGACGGGTTCACAGCTGAATTCTACCAGACACACAAAGAGGAGCTGGTACCATTTCTTCTGAAACTATTCCAAATAATCCAAAAAGAAACAATCTTTCCCAAATCATTCTATGAGACCAATATCATCCTGATACCAAAACCCAGCAGAGACCCAACAAGAAAAGAAAACTTCAGGACAATATCCATGATAAACATAGATGCAAAAATCTTCAATATAATATTGGCAAGCCGATTGCAACAGCAAATCAAAAAACTTATTCATCATGATCAAGTAGGATTCATCCCGGGGATGCAAGGCTGGTTCAACATACGCAAGCCTATAAACGTAATCCACCACATAAACA